GTCTTCCCAAAGGCTGGTGGCGCAGGTCGTGGCACTAATGCAGCAAGGTCACTGGTTCAAATCCCGGCAGCTGTCGTTAAGTCTAGTTAGCATGTTCTCGTCACACAAGTGTGGGTCTCTAAATAGTCCTAACTGGTTCTTTGTTTCCTGTGATGGACTATCCCTGTCCTGGTGTCCCTCTCCTCTCATCCAGACACTGATGGACCCCCTGAGACCCTGATGGGGATGAAGAGCTTCAGCTGATTAATGAGCTCAGAACCAGAATCTAAAGCTATAAAATGTGTCCTAAAGATGAGGTCATGCTGATGTCATCATTTTATAGGAATGAAGAAAATGACTGTAGCGTTGCTCACCGCTGTCTGGATCCGTGTGCGTGTGTGAGCTCATGGTCGGCCATGCTGGGTGTGTTTTCACATCAGAGGAATGTGAGGCGTGGCTCTCAGCGTTTCCCAACAGTTTGACTCCCGTAGCAACCAGCAGCTGTTTAACCAACCGTCGGCCGTCCCATCCTCACAGGAGATCCTCGGGTGAGGTGGAGCTCATCAGCTGACGGGGAGATCTGTCTCACTCTGACTTCCTGTTGGGCGTCTGCAGCACCCGCCGCTGCATCACCAGGTGTCTCCACATGTTTAAGATTGGTGTAAATGCTTCTGATATGTTTCCGTGTTTTGCCCTTTGGCCTGTTTTTATCCTCTTACTGCAGACTTTGGCAGAACCCAGAGCTGATCTGAGCTGCTGTTGACCTTCTATCATCTAGGTCCAGTGTGACCTCTGACCCTTTGTGGGTTCAAATCCTTGATGAGAGCAGTCTGGAGCAAACAACCATGCTATCTTGCTCTGGTTCTCAGTTTTACCCGCTGCTGAGTTTCGCCTCTAAAGGGTGAGTCTGGGAGGATGAAGAACATTCCTGAACATGTTCCCAAACAGGGTTACCAGAGGTGTGTGTGCGCGCGCGCGTGTGTAGAAACTTTCTCTGGAATCAGCCCAAACAATTTTTAAGTCCACCCCCCACCCCCAGACGACTTGACTCCGCGTGCGTCAGACGCGTCATTACGCACGGCTCCTCCGGTGTGCTGCAGGCCAGGTGTACCGGGCCCCGCCCACAGGGGAACCTGCAGCTGGGCTCGCCGGTTCCGTGGGTCAGATCGCAGCGGAGCTCCGAGAGGCGCGAACAGGTAAGAGTCCGCTGCTGGGATTTGAACCCGCAGCTCTGATCTGGGCGGAAGTTAGTTTCATTTTACTGAGACGTTTGCAACGAGCCACCGATTGCAGGAGGTTCGGTTCTGTCAGAAGTTTATCTGCTCGGCTTTATGTAGCGCACATGAATCATTTAGGCTACTGACTGAACAGCTGAAGGTCATAAAACCCGCGTTAGATCAGCTGATCCAGTTTAAACTGGTTGGTTCGGACTGGTTCCTGTGATTCTGACAGTGAAGTTATTCCAGGAGAACTTTTATTACCTGCTGGAACATTTTCTCTGATGTGCTGGTGGTTCTCCCTCATGTGGGAACCTGCTCACACGCGCAGGTGACGTCACCTGTGGCTCAGGGACAGTGGAAGATTGTTTGTGGTCTGATCCGTGTGGGTCCGGGTAGCAGCTGATCCTGCGTCAGTGGATGCTGTCCTTCACCCCCACGAGACAAGCTGTTTGGCTGAAGGGCGAGTCTGGACTGTGGACTCTGATAAGAACTTATCTTTATTCCACCTGGAGGATCCTCTCCCCACGTGGAGACACGGTGTCCCCTCAGTTACTCAACCGTCTGATAACAAACGTTTTAGTTTCAGGGCAGGACGATGTGGCTTGAATTCATCACGCTGCTAACCAGCCGCGCTTTTGTTTGTGCTACAGATGAAACATTAACTTTTATGTTTGATACAAAACTAGTGTGTGCACATATTTGCACTAAACCCCCCTCACATAAATCAGTCTCAGCTCTGCTCTTGACAGTTTCAGTACCTTCCAGAATGAGCCCTTTCAGGGCTCTGTCATAAGCTGTTGCTGGCCACTCCCAGCCACACCCTGATTGGAAGTTTGTTTGCACCAAATGGCAGAAAACAGACACGATCCATCCCCATATGTTGGCCTCAGAGTGGTGGTGCATGTGTGTGTATGTGTGTGTGTGTGTGTGTGGGGGGGGGGGGGGGTCTCTATGGAGACACATTATTATTAATATAAAAGTGCTTCATTACATAATTTTTTGTTGAAATCTTTGTAGATTATTGTGTGTATCTTAAGATTAATGCTAGCAACTGCTAATGTTAGCAGCTCAAATGGCGCCAGTTTAGCTGCTAACACTTCCGAGTATCAAACTCGGGGTCCTGGCTGCGCTTGAACCAGTCCTGTAAACTCTCTTTCTCTGAACCGAGGCTGTTAGAAACCTTTATACCACATGTGGAAATTATTAAACATGGATCTGGTCAGTTGGTCTTTCAACGCGATTGACAAAATTTTTTCAACGATGAGAATGGGAGAAGGGGCTCCCGGTTGCCCCTCTGGGACAGAGCCAGCTGGGCATATCATGAACTCCTGGAAACAGTGGAACCTGATCTGCCTCTCTCAACTGTCTGTAGAGAATTCTGAAGACGTCTGGATATTTGTGGTGTTGGTGTCAGGTTTCGTGCTGGTTGGTCTGAGCGGTTACCTGGCTTACCGGAAAATTAATGAGCTGTCGAGGAATATTGGCTCAATCCCGGAGCTCAGGGATGCATTACATCACGCTGTGAACGCACAGACTCATATAATTGTTGAGATGAGTCGTAAGCTTGGAACTTTGGCTGAGATTCAGGCTCTGGCACAGAAGGTGGATTCCATCAAGGAGCGAGTTGACGGATCAGTACGGATTGGGATAAATTAATTACGCCATTATTGGATCTAGAGGGGTTGAAGACCAACAGAACTCTAAGGCAGAGAGGAAATTATCTCTGTCTGTCCAAAAAAACAATTCTTATCTGAATCTGGTGCCCTTGGGGCCTGTGAGACTGAAGTAAAAACTCCCCTCAGAAGAAATGTGGAATGCTGCCGTCGCTATGGAAACTCTGTCTCCCTATCCCAGCCTGGGTGGGACTGCGACCGGTGAAGGCCGTTGGATCATTTCCAGGCGTCACTGTGCTCTCTAACCCAATTACCTCCCTCCCCTCTCCAAACGGAGGTGACGGGCGCTGCTTATCGTGGCTGCATGCACTGATGTGTGGAGAGTCCCCAACCCTACCTCCCCACCTAGTGGACACTTATGTTGTGTGTTGTCTGAAGTCTGTTGCGTATCTGTTGAGGTGTTTTTTGCAGAGCAAAGCTGCCCTCCCTGTTGAGGGTAGCTCTGAAGTGCCTTTTTTCCTCCATCTGAACCAATCCTCATATAAACCCTCTTATCTCTATTAAGGTAGCGCGACTCGGGTTGCGAATGACCACAGTCACCAATTCTTGTCGTGTGTCTTGCCCATGTATGTCTGATCTTAGAATTGTGTGTACTGAAACTCTAATTTCCCTCTGGGATTAATAAAGTATCTTTGAATTGAATTGAGTGAGGTCGCAGCTGCAGGGCATCACTGAAAAACAAACAAAATCAGCCATTAATGCCGGGTTCAGAAGAGAATGCTGTTAATAATTTATGAATTTGATATTATAAAGTATGTTTATAGTTGACTTTTATCAGCTGTTTTATTAACTCATTCATTTCCAGCGTTTTTCACCATTTTTACTGTTATTTTAAGAGTCACAGAACTTGCGCGCTAGGATGATGTCGACACCAAAACAACCAAAGCAAAGCGGAGAGTCACCTCTTACATCAGGAAGAATCCGCGCGTTTCGAGCGTTATCCGTTCTTTCATAATCCGTTGTTGAATTGTGATCGGCAGAAGCTTTTCCGGTTCGCACCTCACTTATTTTTACAGCAGCGGCCCAAAACAATCTCCTAACACATGGATGTTCTGCTTCCTGATCACGTGACGTGTGACGTACGTGGATGAAGATCGGCTCTAGAGCTGAGATGTTTGTTCTCACGGTGCGGGGGCTCGTCCGACGCCCACACGGTAAAAACATTGGCAGTGAACGAGTTAAACACTTATTTATTATTTGTTTTTAGGGAGCCTAAGTCTCCTCTCTTTCCAGTCGGCTCCTGGGTTCCTGAACGGGGCTAAGAGAGCTTCTAATCCGCTGTGCCTTACTTCCTGAGTCACACACATGTTGTACGTCTGTTTAAATGAAAACTAATGATGGGTGTTTTGACCACACCAGTCACGTCCTTTCAGATCTTGTAAAAGTTCATAATTAGCATGACTACAAATCAGACGTCGCATATGTGACGTCACCACAGAGCCTCCTCCCCCCTAGCGTAGCTGCTACCTACACACGTCCGGATTTATGGTTCTTTCCTCCTGAAGGAAGGATTTGAAGTTGGCTGAACTTGCAGCCATTTTTCCTCTCCTTTCTCCGTGTCTGGTTTGGTGATGCACATTTGTAGTTCTGGACTTATTTTCACACAACCTGAAATAACTTTTGCTGCCTCTAGAAAATGGAATGTAGAACACGTCTTTGGAATTCAGACATCGTGTGTGACATCCGTGACACGTAAACGAGATTAGAAGAGAGCGTTTTTAGCCCCGCTGACTTGCATTCATTTTATTCGTTCTTCGGGGACCCATGGTCTGGAAGTAGATGGGCGTGGCTTAGGCTGCCTATGGAACTTCCTGTCTGACTGATCATCAGAACGTTCTTTTCTAAATCTTTATTGTGTCCATTTTGCCGTTCTTCTAAGTTTTCTTTCCTCTGATAAACTTTACCCTGATTTCACCAAACGTCCTTTAGCCTCCTCTTTTCTGCTCCGCGGACTCAGAATTACTACAGTATACAGTATACACGCACGCACACACATGCACACACACACACACACATGCACGCAAACATTCACACACATGCACACGCACGCACACACATGCACGCAAACACACACACACAAATGCACGCAAACACACACACACACACATGCACGCAAACACACACACACATACATGCATGCATGCAAACACATGCACATACACACACATGCACGCACACACATGCATGCACACACACACACACACGCATACACTCTAGTCTAGCATTCATTGTGAGGACCGTCATTGACTTCTGTTCATTGTAGTGACTGGATTGTACCTAACCCTAACCAGTCTACTCCTAACCCTAACCAGTCTACTCCTAACCCTAACCTTAACTAAAACTTAATAGACACCAGACCTCTAAACTAACCAGTGGAGCTCTGTGGCATTGTCCCAAAGTGAGGACCTGCAAAATGTCCTCACTTTGCAACTGATGTCCTCAGTTTGCAGGTAAACTTGTTTTTGCTTGTTTTGCTTTGATTTATAGACTAGCACACACACACACACACACACACACACACACACACACACACACGCCCTGTCTATTTCGGTCTCTTTAAGCTTTAACGGGACACATTCTTTCCCTTAACTCTGGCCCAGGAAGTCGACCAACCAGAACAACAAGAAAACAGAAATGTTCTCTCTCACACTTTTCTCTGCACACACCCTCATCTACACCTCTTTAGGTTGGTTTTATTCACACACACTTAAAAACGAAGGCATGTTAGAAATCCTGCCCTTCATTCCCTTATTAGGACATAAAACGGTCAGTAAACAGTTTACAAGCCCATGAAGTGAAGGACCAGGGTTAGGGTCAGGGGTTTTGTGTCTGCTGGGTACGAACCAGCTGATCTCTGGTTACAGGCTGGTTAGGTCTCCAGCTTTGGTTCGGACTGACGGGAGTTCAGGATAATTAGGGTAGTTGTCATGGAGATGCCGGCCGAGTTCTGGTTCTGATGTTTATTGTTGGTTTGATTCTAGATGATATAAATAAGGAAAACTCCAGACGAATCTCATTTTTTAACTTTGTTTCTTTAGACTGAAATTCTTTTAATCAGGTAAAAATATTAATAATATTTAAAGTGATATTGTTGATATTAATGTTTAGCTTTTGATAGAAGCTTTAGTTGGGTTAGGTGCACCTTCGCAGCTTGAAGGTTGCAGGTTTGAATCCTGGCTGCAGCATTTCTGTGTGGCGTTGGCATGTTCTAAATGGTAAATGGTAATGGCCTGTATTTGATATAGCGCCTTCTAGAGTCCTGGAACCCCCCAAGGCGCTTTACAACACAATCAGTCATTCACC